TTTTTTTTTTTTTTTTTGCACTGTGCCAACCGGAACGGGAAGAGAGCGAGCTATAGGAGCTTCGCCGTCGATGAGACGAAGCTAGAGTCAACCGAAGAGAGCTGCAGTCGCCGGAAGATCGAGGAGTGAGTTGCGACATAATTTCCCGATTGAGTCTCCTGCGGTTGCTGTGTTCGCCATAAAAGAAAAGAGAGAGAGGAAGAGAGGCCAGAGCTGCGGTGAGGCGGTAGCGTGGCAAGGAGGCGCTGGTCTCAGGCGGTCGGAAAAACGAGAGGAGGAGAAGGGGAGGGTGGGTCGACGCTGCTGCCCGAAGAAGAAAAGAAAAAGAAAAAAAAAAAAAGAAGAAAAAAAAAAAAAAAAGAAAAGAAGGAGAATTCTAAAAAGCTTCTAGACCATTCGGTTCGATTCGAACCGGTTTGGTCTAATTCTAATGATTCGGCTCGACTTGCCTTGGTTTTCGCTCGACTTGCTTGGTTTTCGAGTTTTTCGCTTGGTTTTCGAAAAATCGAATTGGTTTACGGGTCCAGCTTAGCAATAATAAAATACTAACTGGTATAATTTCATTGGTTGAAATAAAAATTTTAGTTTTTAAATGAAAATTCTATGAAATTAAATTTTTGGGTTGTTTCAATTTAAGTAAAAAAAACCTAATCAAAATATCATGTACACCAAATCGGAAACCATAAGAAACTATCCAAAACTCTTAACACAATTAATAACTAAATTGTCACGATAATAAAAAAAATACAAAACTTGCAGCAAAGTGTCTCCACCACCGATCATATTAAAAAAATTGCAGTCCAAAAAATTTACATACTATAACCAAACAGGTAAATCTTCATGAGTTTCAGCTCCCTTTTTAGCCCACAAATCTGCAAAATGAAGATGTTATCCACGTGTATGTAAGAATTGAACCAAATATAAAGATTCACATGTGCTACCAAATCTATTGAACAATAGTCTCCATCTCTAAGGTCCTTTTTCTTTATTTAAAATCTAATACACAACAAATTTTTTTTCTTTATTTAAAATCTAATACAAAACAAATTTTGAATCAGATTTTGATGAAATCGATGAATAATAAATTGAAACGGTATTCGTGATTATTTTATATATATATAGCGAGAGAGAGGAATGAACCTAGACATGGCCACGGTTTCGGAACTGGCGGTTCCGGTTCCAGAAAAGCTGGAACCGGAACCGGCGGTTCCGAATCCGCGGTTCCGGTTCCAGAAAAACTGGAACCGGAACCGAACCGAAAATGGTCAGGTTCGGTTCCGGTTCCGAACCGTTCAATTTCCGGTTCTGGTTCCGGTTCCGATCCGATTACAAAACCGACGGTTCAGATTGGTTTTCCGGCGAATCGCAATAAATTTTAAATTTTAAATTTGGATACCGGTTTAAAAAAAAATTTATGTGAAACATAAAAAATTGAAAATACAGTTAAATAAAATTTTAAAATATGAAGACCGTTAAAAAAAATTATTTTGAAAGCATAAAAAATAAAAATAACCTAAAAAATTTTAATTTTGAAGATCGGTTAAAAAAAAATTATTTGAAGCATAAAAAATTAAAAAATACACCTAAAAAATTAAAAAAAATACTCAAAATTAAATTTATTTTTTTAAAGACTTGAATTGTTTGAGTGGTTGAACATAATGAATTTTTTTAAAAATTTTGAACTGAATTTTTTTTTTTAAAGTTTGAAACAAAATTAAAAAAAAAAAAAAAGGGCTTGAAAACTTTTTTTTTTTTTTTTGTTTAAAAAAAAATTTTTTTTTTTAAGTTTGAACATAATTTAAAAAGGGGTTTAGAGGAATCAAAGCCCACGTAGTTCTTACTTACCTTATACCAATTTCACCCCATTTACCTTAATCGCTATTTGCACCACCGCTTGATGTTCTCGTTGAGGATCCATCGTATAAATCATATAAATCTTCATTTTCTTTTGGATTTTCTTGGGCTCTTAGTTCGGCCTTAGTCCAATCATCCAAGCATGATTGTGCTTCTAATGAATTGGGTGTCATACGAGATCGTGTTTCATCAAGTATGTTACCTCATTGACTAAAAGCTTGTTCAACCGCAACAGTGGAGACCGGAGCTGCTAAAACTTGTTTTGCAATTAAAGTAAAAGAAAGAATTGGAAAAAGTATTTGCGTGACGACTCCACCAATTCCTTAAAATTGGAAAATCTGGGCATCTGCATAATTATCAACCGAAACTCAAAAGAAGTTGTTAGATAATTGTCAAATTCCAGAAAAATAGAACTGGATTCCCCTTGTTCTTATTTTTGTCTTTGCAATAAAAACTGTTGAGGCAAGCATCAACACTAAACTTACCCTTTGTGTTGAAAAATTGTGGGAATATTAGATTTGAGAAGAAGTAGAATAGAGTAGATGAACTAGAAACTTGAACAAAATTCATTAATATAATTGCATAATATTTTGTTTAACCTTCATGGGCACTAGTACATTTACATTAACAATTAATCTTCTACATAAAGATTTAATACGTCATAATAAAAATAGTCAAATAATCACATAAAAACAATCCATTCTACATCTAAGGATTAAAAATACAATAAGCAACAAGATAAAGATGTGGTTAAATTTTTAAAATAAGATAACCATTTTTTTTTCATTGAAAAAAATAACAATCTTTTAATAAATGCATCATTTGAATTCCCTTGTAGGCAAGTAACCAATAATTAAAAATACACATAGGTAAGAAATAAATTAGATGTGGGATAATAAACCCCACTAAATTTAATAGGTAAGCATCATTAAAATTTTTTAAAATATCTAAAAATTTTTGCACAAATCTCCCCAATTTTGTGGATATAAATTAATATCCCTCAAATATTGTTAAGTACAAAAAAAAACATAATAATTCTTTATAAAGAAAAAAAGACTCGTTAGTAATTCATATGTTGAATTCCAACGAGTTTGGGACATCCCCTTGGAACGTTTTGGGTCTTTTATTATTTTTCTTTATAAAAATTTAAGCCCAACTTTTCATCACTTGGTAAGAAATGTGTCCATAAATATGAAATAGCTTTTTTTAAATTGGAGAAATAAAAGAATTTAAGAATTTTCAAAAGCACCATTCTTTGTACAGCATAAATTTTAAAAAACATGGCATGCCACATCTTATTACTGAAAAATTTTACCACGCAATATTTGGGTTCACCAAATTTTTTTAAGTTTCAAATAATTGATCTAGTAATTTGCAAGAAAGCATTATCAATGATAGAAAATTTTTTTTTGTGCGAACCTATATTCATCTAAAATTGAAATAATTACTCTATAAATATAATTTGCAGTATGTTTATCATCCAAAAACACGAAAAACCAATAATTCTTTTTTGAAATTTTCCAATCAATCATCAAACCAAATGACATGTAATACCGCATATAAGAAATGCATTTGCCAATGAAGCACTCCAAAAATTTCACAACAATATTGAAACACCGAATTTTTCAATTGAGAAAATAAAAAGTTCTAACTCCTTTTTTTCCCTTTGTTTATATATAAGAAAATAATAGTTCGTTTTTTTAACAGTATTTCTTGGGTCTCTTTTAACACAAGGATTTAATAGCTTTTGAAATAAAATTATTAAAACCTAATTTTTCACTCAAAAACTAAAAGATATTCCATAGAAATCATTTTTGCTAATAATCATTTTTGCTAATTCTTCTTTTTATATTTTTTCAGAATATTTAAATAAAGAAAGGTTAGAAGCGTACCCGGAAATTTGTTGTTGAGACCGATCAACTACTATTTTTGTTGGATGTTTTGCCTCCAAATGCTTCCAAAATGATCCATAGCCGTCCGCTTATTTAAATTTATAAGATTTTCCACAATAATTGCAAATTATATCGTACATTTTCTCACCTTTGAATTTTCTTGTGAAATAAATGGAGAATATGTCGGAACTTTGTCTTACTCTTGTAACAATTTTTGCTCGTTGCTCTTGCTCTTGCTCTTCATCTTCTTGAAATTGCTCATTAAGGATTCTTGAGTTGGAAATATCGAAATTTTCGATTTGGAAAACCTTCAAAATTAAATTGGCGTCGGGAATGCATATCCATAGATGTCGTTCTGTAGGGATAGAAATGATCTCACAATTTTCTCCCTTGCCCTTACCCGAATTGGAGTTTTCCTCCACGCTTGCCATTATTATGATCAGATTAAAATTATAATTTGGAAAATTGAATAAAAAAATTAGAGAGAATAATACTTTAATAAGAGGATATTGTAAAGTAGAGAAGAATAAATGAAAATATAGAGTTAGAGTGTAGTATATTGAGAGAGAGAAAGGAGAGTGTAGTAATGTAGAGAGAGTAATTAGAGAGAGTTGAGTATTTTTTTGTAATGAATTTGTAAATAAAATGAGGAGGTATTTTATAATAAATCCCCAAAAAATTTATTTTTCCAAAAACATGACCCTAAACTTACCGTATATATAGCCGTTTATGGCTGTGGGAAGGCGGGTAATTAAGACATTTCACAACAAAAAAAATTCAAAATCCGACAGTTACTAACGGCTAGAACCGCCGGTTCGAACCCGGTTCGAACCGACGGTTCTTAAACCGGCCGGAAACCGGCCAGTTCCAGTCCGGTTCTTCTGGAACCGCCCGTTCTGGTTTCCTCATTTGCAGGAACCGGAACCACCGGAACCGAACTGGATTTTTTCGGTTCCAATTCCGGTTCGTCCCGGTTCCGGTTCTCACCGGTTCCGGTTACGGTTCCGGGCCGGTTCGAACCGACGGCGTAATTTGGCCACGCCTAAATGAACCTGCTTTTTATGTTTGACATAAATAACTGTGGTAAAATAAATTAAAGCCGCACGCACTCATTGTCGGCAAATGATATGAGAGCCAAACAAAGTTCACAATTTTAAACGTTGGATATTGGTTGCTGACGTAACCCATGGAGACTGTAGCTTATATATATAGTGGTTATCTTGGCCTTTTAGGGCAGGACATATATTGTATACCATGGAGAGTCCTCTACCATACAGAGTACTTAGAAAAGGTGCTTGGACCCCTGCTGAAGACGACCTTCTCAGAAGCTGCATTCGAATACATGGAGAAGGCGAATGGCATAAAGTCCCTTCAAGAGCTGGTTCTCTCTCTTTGTATCTATATATCTTTTTTTATTTTTGAAAAACAACAATGTATAGCAAATAATTAAGATTAATCAAATTATAGGCATTTAAGTGGAAGTTATATGTATATAATTTTGCAGGTTTAAACAGATGTAGGAAAAGTTGTAGATTAAGGTGGTTAAACTATCTTAAACCAGGTATTAAAAGAGGAGAATTCACATCAGATGAGATTGACCTAATGATCAGGCTTCACAGCCTACTGGGAAACAGGTAACTCAACATCTAACCAGGTTAGGTCATTCTGTCTCATCCTATCTACATGAGTGGGATTCTGCTTCTACTTCATTCTGTCTCATCCTATCTACATGAGTGGGATTCTGCTTCTACTTCTATTTCTTTGATTCTTTGGGCAGATGCCTGTGACATTAGTTTCTTAAGATAATATTTTTTGTCCTCTACTTTTTGTTACCAAAAAAAACTGCTTATGACTTTTAACTAGAGATTATTTTATGTGAATAGAATTGTATTGCTACTAAGTAATTGAATTAAATTTTTGTCTTTTGACAGCTTTTAGATTTTTCTGTTGAAAGGAGTAATTAAATCAGATTATTTCTGGTTTTATTGATGCAGATGGTCACTAATAGCTGGTAGACTACCGGGGAGAACAGCAAATGATGTAAAGAATTTCTGGAACACTCATATGCATAAGAAGCTGAGGCTTAGTGATCCTCATTGTAAGGAAGATGATGTGAAAGACAAAACAGTAAAAATATCATGGCCTCAACCCTGCAAATTCTCAAAAAATATATCATTATTTACTGCAACTGCAAAAGATAAATATCAGCATGAAAATGACAATGATAATGATAATCTTGGCAATGGCAAGGCTTCTGTAACCGTTGCATTTCCACCGTTAGACAGTAAAGATGACATAAATAATCAACCTAACACCACAAACCCTCTTGCAGGAGAAGGTGCCCCCACATTCTTTGAAGGGGAGGGCAGTAGTGACTATGGAAAATGATTGGTGGAGTGACTTTTCTTCTGATGAAGAAATCTGGAATCTTTTCTTCGGTGAAGAACAAGAAGTGATAATCTTTGACAGGATTGAGATAGTGAAGAACAAGAAGTGATAATCTTTGACAGGATTGAGATATATATGAGAATTATGGGATGTCAAGATTTTGTAGTTTTTGCTGGTGTAGCTTGTAGTAACAACTTTGGTGTTTTTAAGTAAAACTAAGTACGAATATATTTGCAGATTTGGGTGTGGTTTTAGGGTTTGTGTTGGGGTTGGTTTCGTTTTTGTTTTGGTATAATCTGTTTTAGCTGCAAAATTTGCATGGGCTATATCAGTTTTTTTTTTTTTTTTTTAAGTAATGTATGTATTATTCAAGGTATTTTCACCTAACATTCTTAGTTAGGTTGGATTTTATGTGGATAAGACTGATGACTTAGATTTAGTTGCATTTGAATGTTATGTATTTCGTGGATATATTTAAAATTTAATAAAAAAACTTATTTTTTTTTGAAGTAAGTTTAATTATATTTAGAGGGCCTATTGGTTCAGATTTAGTCTTGAACTCTATTAATTAATAAAATAAAATTTCATTTACCATTTGAAAAATAGATACTTTTGTGTTTTATACATATAAATTTCTGTTTAGAATGAAACTCAATTTCATAGTTCTAGAAACAACACCAAATCAAAAAAATTAGAAGTTCTTATCTTACTCATGTTATATGGATATATCATCACTTAGATTTAATTCTAGTGATTAAGGGAGAATATGTATATAAATTAATAAATTTGCTTTTTTTTTTCTAATAAATTAATAATGTGCCTTTTCTTTTTTTTATCATGGATTTCATACAAAAGGAAAACAATTATTATTAATTATACTATTATATATCAACAAATACTCTGAAGCGGCTTGAAGGTTGGAAAAAAGTTGAATGAAGACCACCCTTGACCCTTTATAAAATTATATATTAGTGTTAGGACTAAGGTTCTCTTCGTAGCACTAGTGTTGCTTACAAGATATACAGTATCATTGTTAGACTAAGTTTTTCAGCATATTGTATACATATACAGTATCATTAGGGTTTGGCAAGAAGGGAAAATGATTGATAAAATGTATGCCTTCTTCTTTTTCTAATTGAAATAAATAAGTTTTATTAAAAGAGAAAAACATAATTAAACATCCATTGAGAAAATCTTTTATCATATTCATAAAAATTAATAAAAAAAAAATCAACAAATCAGTTTGATTGATGATTGAGTTTCTTCTCTATAACTCTTGTGATCATATATATAATAAATAAAGAAAGAACGATCTTTATGTCATGAATTTTCTAGTTACGTGGACCATATTTATGTATTTGAAATTTTCTGATTTTTTTCAGATATGATAATTGGTAAATATTACGAGTGACTGCGTATATACACACACATCTCCTTAATTATAATATTAAGGAATTAATTTTTTCTTCTCCCTTTTTCCCCTTTTGTGGTTATCCCAAACTTTCATTACACTCATTTAAATATTTTAATTACAAATAAGTTGTTAATAAAGAGTGCACATGTTATAAGTTTACCGGAAAAGTAATTCCAACAGCTGGTAAACTGTGTACTGATTTGATATAATTTTTACTGAAAACTATTTATAAATATAATCTTTAATATTTGTGCATCGATTATGTAAAATAACAAAACAAATTATTAAGGAGGTCAAGACTTTTAAATTATAACATTTTATTTCTCAAGTAAATAACTAATTTTATGAATATATATATATATATATAATATATATATATATATATATATAATTGAGCATTGACATTATGATTTTAATCTTCTCCCCTTAACTATCTTTTATTGGGTTCTTTTTCGTTTATTTTGTTTCTAGAGCTGGAGCTTTGATTCTTATTTTGCATTTTTTTTTTTAAAATTGTTAAATTTAATATGTATCTAGTGTAGAATTGATTTGTCTCCATCTGACGTGAAATTTATTTGTCCTTCATTTGAAATTTACTATTTTTTTATAAAAAAATTGGTAATAAATAAAGATCCAAAAATTATAAATACGTAGTCTAAATTTTTCTTGAAAATCAAATTTAATATGGTGGACCCAACTTTTAAAATTAGTTATCCTGTAATTAATAATCATTTATAAAAATTTATAAAGGATCTTAATATATATTAAAAAAATTCATAGTACAAGCATATAATTTATAGGTACAAGCATATAATTTATAGTTAATTCTGATGTGAAAGTAAGTTTTGAAGTTATATTTTTAAAGCAATTGATTATGTCTATGGATTTTACAATAAAATTTTAAAAGCATAAATATTAAGTTTTGAAATTAAAAATTAAGGTGAACACTATAAATTCGATTATAAATCATTATATTTTAAATTTGTATTAGATAATACAATTATTATTGATGTGTTTGATTAATTCTATTACTGTTTTGAAAAATTTTTTTGAGTGTAAACCACTGGTATCCGGACCCCATTATTAGAACCGCCTAATTCAGCTTAAGGCTTAGTCATAGTTAATCGCTCCTCCAGGCAGGTGCGTTTGTGGGATCGAACTCGAAATCTCTTTGCACATACCTAGCCTGCGTATTATTGTTTTGATAAACTTGTTTTTATATAGAATCAAGCTTGTAATAAATAAATTCACAAAATTAAGTTTTTAAATTTTTTTTTGTAGATCACAAATAAAATTCAAATTTTAACAATTACAAATTACATAAATTATAAAATAATTTTAGTAAAAAAAAAAGTTGAGTTACAATAAATTATTAAAATTAATTAGTTTAAAAAAAAAAGTTGAGTTTTGGATATATTATAACTAACAACGTTAGGCGAGTAACACTTAAAAATCAGGATATATTATAACTAACAACGTAGGAGTACATAAAAATTAAATTATAAATATATTATGATCAGCAACACAATAAACTTAAAATATTATTTACATAATAATCTTACAATGTAAATATATATATTTTTTTATTTCATTTTAGAAGCTAAACATTAGCTCAATAATTTTTAAAATTTAATATTTTATTTATTTATGAAAAAGAATATTTGATATTTTTCTTGATGATGAAATTCTCGTTTTGATGTCTTTTAGATTGGCGAAACAAGTTTTTTATGATAATAATAAATATACATAAATAATACAGAATAAGGGATTATCGGATTTATAAATAGCTAGTTATTAGATATTTTTAGATTTAATGACCCACATTTAGGTAATTTAATTATAATAAAAGATAACTATTTTTGTATCTATGTAAAATTTTTCATTTCTATAGAGTGATCTTACCCTACAAAAATATTGTGATTTAGAAATTTCAAAAGTTTTTTTTTTTTTTTTTTTTTTTTTTTTTTTTTTTTTTTTTTTTTTTGTATAGGCAGAGCATGACAAATTAACTGGTAACCATTTATTAATTTTTTTTACACCGAAGCGTAACAAACCCAAAATTAATTTTGTATACCTATTGGGGGAAAATTATTACTAAATAATATTGTTATCCACTTAGTAGTGTAGCAATTTTTTTTTTTTTTTTTTTTGTTATAGGCAGAGCATGACAAATTAACTGGTACCATTTATTAATTTTTTACACCAAGGCCGTAACAAACAAAATTATTTTTATACTATTTTGGGGAAAATTATTACTAAATAATATTTGATCCACTTATAGTGTAGCAATTCTCACTTTTCACAAATAATTTTAAATTTATTTTTGTAATATTGCCTGATCATTAGAAGATTAAAATGCTCAAGAAACCATCGATGAGGTTTGCAGTTTCTTGGCAAAATAAATTTCGATTGTTTTTTCCGTTTTTAAGTTAAATGTAAAGGAAATTGTGAAAACCCTTGAGAAACTAGCGGTTAGAAGAATGATCATTTATTTACAGAAAGATTTATTTATTTCCGGTGTATCAATTTATACATGAGATTATATTAAAGATGTGTGAATATACATTTTTCAAAAAAAAAAGGAAAAACCCATCTTAGACATTGCAATAGGGCCTGAATTCTCTTGCTCAAGCCCAACTTCCTACTGCCCAAGTTCAGGTTCTAAATTAGTATATTACACAATGAGGCCATCGTATAACAACTTGGCGCCCTCGCTCATTGTACAAACAAACATAGAACCCAAAAAAAAAAAAAAAAAGCATAACAAATTCGAAGAACCCTAAGTAGCAAAAAGAAAAAAGAAGTTTGAACTTTGAGTTATTACGTACAACTCGGATCGAACTTTATGGGGTAACGTAGTCAGTTAAATGGACGGATGCAGTTCTGAACATCTCGTGATTAAAACCAATAAAAAAAACTTAACAAACTAAACATTTATGGGTAGAGTACTATTCAGTATACAATATTTGAACTTAATTACTATTTAACTATTAAGTATATTTTGAATAATTAATTAATTAATCCGTAATCTTTGGATCCGTTAAATTACTTAATCATTCATCTAAAAGTAAGCCTTTTGTCATTAATTTTTAAGAAAATAATGAAAATGACCCCAATTATTTTTCCCTTGCACTATTCATTGTCCCTCCAAATTTTTTTGCATTGTACACATCAATCGTTAAAACCTCCATAAATATCACTTCACCATTATCAATAAAGGCTAAACACAGATCTTGGCCCATGAACTATCATAAGTTTTCCTATTAACCCCTCTTTTTTTTGAACTTTTTCCTATTGAACCCTCCAATTTTATGCGTGGTGCATACTAAGCTTTTTTTACCAACAATTAAAGTGTGTGCTCACACAAAAAATATGCGCTTTTAACGTTTTCTTTCATTACTCCTTCAAAATGATGTCATTCCACTATATTTCCAACCTTCTTAGATAAAACCCTAACTTTTCAAAAAGGTGTCATTCATTTCAAGCTCTCTCCTAATTTCACAATCTATTCTTCCTCTTCTTTCTGTTCTCATCAATTCCAAATCCTAAGGACAACCAGATTGATACTCTTCACACACTTTTTGCCCCGTAAAACTATGAAACGTAAAACCCACTTCAAGAAAACACCCAAAAGCAACACTCAAACTAAAAAAGCCAACAATAATACTCTTAGCCAAATTCTCATCGCGGACAATGAACTTGACGTTGATGCTGTTGGCAGTTATGGAAGCATCATATTACTTTGTTATCGGTCTCAGTTCCAAGTCGAGTGTTAAGCTTCGAGAAAAAGCTGACACAAATTTGAACCGCTATGATAATAGTGGTTTCTAAATGGCAGTTGAGTATGTCCAGCCAAGTTCTATTAAGTTATAGTGGATCTCAAAGTAGATCGAAAGTACAAGATGATTGAAGATTAATTTGATGGAGGGAGCAATAATGAATAATAGGGTAACGATAATTTGGACTATCATCGGCTATTTTCCCACCAAATTATCTCGATTGCTAGCATCAAATAGCGGTCAATTTTTATCATTAAAAATTTTCACTTTTCACATACATGTTACCTTCCATCTCTTCATTAATAACTTTTGGTGGAAAACATGCAACGATAAACGTCGAATCTCTTATTATGTTCTAGGAGAGCAAAAAAGAAAAGATCTAATAAGAGACATAATTATTGAGTGATAGGTACAGAAAACGACAGTTGTAACTAATTATGAAATATTGGACCACAATCAATTAATAACTTCGATAGTATTGAAAATGAACTCTTTTACTAGTTTGATTATAGATTTGAACCGCTACATACTTCATGTGTGGGTGCAGCGACTTTAAACTCTTGACCTAAACTGCTAGTAGCACCAGAAGAAAAAATTTTAGTAATTGTAGTGATATTGTTGCCAGCTAGTGTATGCGAATCTATGCTATTTTTTTTTCTAGTAGTACAACTACCAAATTTGTGCTATTTGGTGAAAAATGTGAATTTTCTTGGGGAAATCAAGCGACCCAAAAAAGCAAAGAAATAAAAACAGAGCTTAAAACAATAAATGGAGTTACTACTCTTATTATTAATGGAATCTTCGATCGATAATTGTCAAATTCTTTGTGGTGAGAAAAGTAGGGGTTTTCACTTTATTTGCTTGTAAACTAATGAATTTGTTTCATTTTGTTCAATTGAACAATTATAATGATTCATTGGTTAATGTGAGTTGGTTTTGTTTTCTGTTTTTTTTTTTATGAAGCTCTCATATTCTAAAAACTGAGTTATCGCATTATCTGAATTAAATAACTATCTTGATTTGACAAGTACAAATAAATTGATGGTCAAACTATCAATTTTTTTATCAGCAAAATAATTTTTATTAAATTATATTGTCCAGAAAAAATTTATTTTATTCAAGTACTATCTCAAACAATCAGGCCTCCCATTTACATTCAAACTAACCTGAATAACTTAAGTAAAAAAACTTTGGTCAAAATATCATATATACCAAACCGGAAACCATCAGAAACTATCCAAAATTCTTAACATAATTAATAACTAAATTGTCACAATAATAAAAAAAATACAAAACTTGCAATAAAGTGTCTTCACAACCAATCATATTAAAAAAACTGCAGTCCAAAAGATTTACATATTATAACTAAGCAGGAAAATCTTTATGAGCTTCAGCTCCCTTTTTAGCCCACAAATCTACAAAATGATTATGTTATTACATATATGTAAGAATTGAACCAAACATAAAGATCCACACATGCTACCAAATTTATTGAACAATAGTCTCCATCTCTAAGGTCCTTTTCCTTTATTTAAAATCAAATACACAATAGATTTTGAATTAGATTTTGGTGAAACCGATGAATAATGAGGATGTTAAAATCCGTAAGTTTCTTCATACATGAGTTAATAAATGAAAGAATATTAGAGCTCGCGAACACCATGTGGAAGTAAATAGGCCTATCTACACATGGGGTTGTAGGTGAGTAAGTACTATTGAATTTCACTTGCAGAAAAACCAATTAGTTTATGATAGATCCATCACCTATTTAATTATAAATTATTTAGTTGTTTTATTATTATTACATTCAATTCGAGATGCATTCCACAAGAAAAGAATAATTATTTATGATACTGTCTCGAAAACAGTATCAGAAAAAATGACTTTAGTATATAAATCTTTAAATGAAAATATTTAAAAATTGTATGACAATTAATTTATTTCAAACTGAACAGTTGAAAAAAAATAGTACTTTTAAGGGTAATAATCAATATTTTGACTTCTAATTAATGAATTGAGATGGTATTTTATAAATCCGTGTATATATATATATAAAACAGAGAGAGAGAGAGAGAGAGAGAGAATAATCAAGTATTTTGATTCTAATTAATGAATTGTTCTAATTAATGAATTGAGATGGTATTTTATAAATCCGTGTATATATATATATAAAACAGAGAGAGAGAGAGAGAGAGAGAGAGAGAGAGAGAGAGAGAGGAATCAACCTATTTTACTTTTATTTTTAACATCAATAACTATGGTAAAACAAATTGAAGCCGCATGCAATCACTTTTGGGGAATGATATGAGAGTCCATGGACCCTATAGCTTATATATATAGTGATTGAATTGGCCTTTTAGAGCAGGATATATATTGTATGCCGATGGAGAGTCCTCTACCAGTCGGAGTACTTAGAAAAGGTGCTTGGACTGCTATTGAAGACCGCTTTCTCAGAAGCTGCATTCAAAGACATGGAGAAGGCCAATGGCACAAAGTCCCTTCAAGGGCTGGTTCTCTCTCTTTCTCTTTTTATCTATATATATATATTTTTTATTTTTGAAAAACATTAATGTATGGCTGCAAATATTTTTGAAAAACATTAATGTATGGCTGCAAATAATTAAGGATAATCAAGTTGTATGAATTTAAATCGAACTTAGTATATATAATATGTAAAATATTGCAGGGTTGAATAGATGCAGCAAAAGTTGTAGATTAAGGTGGTTAAACTATCTTAAACCAGACATTAAAAGAGGAGAATTCACATTAGATGAGATTGACCTAATGTTCAGGCTTCACAACCTACTGGGAAACAGGTAACTCAACATATCTTTGGGCTGATGCTTGTAGCATTAGTTCCTTGAGATAGTTTTTCTTTTCCCTCTACTTTTTGTTACCAAAAAAAATAAAAAATAAAAAATTAAATTAATACTTGTCTATACAGATACAGTCTTGCAGTACTGCTAATGACTGCTAATTAGAAATTATTTTATGTGAATAGAATAGTATTGCTACTAATTATCATGAATTAAATCCGATCAATTCTCGTTTTATTGATGTAGATGGTCACTAATAGCTGGTAGACTACCGGGAAGAACAGCAAATGATGTAAAGAATTTCCGGGAAGAACAGCAAATGATGTAAAGAATTTCTGGAACACCCATATGCGCAAGAAGCTGAAGCCTAGTAATCCTTATTGCGAGGAAGACGATGAGAAAGGCAAAACAGTAAAAATAATAAAGCCTCGACCCTGTAAAATCTCAAAAATTATATCTTTATTTACTGCAAACGCAAAAGATAAAGATCACCATCAAAATGACGATGGTAGTAATAGTATTGACTATGGCAAGGCTTCTGTGCCTGTTGCATTTCCACCATTAGATAGTAAAGATGACATAAATAATCAACCTAACACCACAAACCCTCTTGCAGGAGAAGGTGCCCCCACATTCTTTGAAGGGGAGAGCAGTTGTAACTAATGAAAATGATTGGTGGAGTGACTTTTCTTCTTTTTCTTCTGATAAGGAAATCTGGAATCTTTTCTTCAGTAAAGAACAAGAAGTGATAACCTTCGATTTGAAAGTTAAATTTGTATTTACAACTGATTAGGTCATTTTAAAAGTTAAAAATTACTCCATATTGATTGTATTAACTCCTTTTGTGTTTTAGTAAACCTAAGTGGGAATGTATTTGCTTCAGTTTTTTTTCACCTGACATTCTTAGGTTATTGCCTTTGAATGTTAGTTTGATTATATTTACAGAGCCTGTTGGTTCGTCATTAATCCTGAAAAATAAGTACTTTGTGTAATTTTATTTGCCCATAAAAAAATAATTCATACTTATGATTTCATAATTCTAAATACAACACCAAATCAACAGTTCTTGTTTTACCTTTTTTATATGGATACGTGATCACCTAGATTTAATTCTAGTGATTGAGTGAAAAGATGGATATGTGCAATTTTATCCTGGATTTAACAAAAAGAAAAGAATAATTATAATTAAAAATTTAAATAGGTATATGTGTACAGTATAATTTAGTGTTAGGCTTCGTTTTTCAGCAACATTAGGGTTTGGCAAGAAGGGAAAATGACTGATAAAATATATGCCTTCTTTTTCAGCAACATTATTGTTAACTATTTAACCATTATGTTTTGACTAAATAATTAATTCATCCGTAATCTTTCTTTAAATTATTTAATAATTAAGCAATTTCGTCTTTTTGTCTTCCTTATTTATTTATTTTTTTTTTTTTTAAGGAAACGATGAAAATGACCTCAATTATTTTATTATTATTATTTTTCCGTTTCACTATTGATTATGGCCTCCAATTTTTTGCATTGTACCCATCAATCACTAAAACCTCCAAAAATACCAATTCACCATTATCAATAAACCATTCCCATAGCCATGAAATTACCATCACCGAAAACGGAGCTTCACCACCGGTATCATATCCTTCTTTTCCCTTGGATTGATTCTTGGCCATTCTTCAAGAAACAACTAGAGTTTTAAATATTTTGGGATATGACAGCGAATATGCAAGATAATCTAAAGAACGTTGCATTGTCGGCTGAATAAATTTGCATCACCATGGAGTATTTACTGAAACTTAGTTTATCATTTTGTTTAATTTCAGTTTATTTCAACATATAATGATTTCTAATTCTAATTAATTCCTTCTTTTTTGGGTAGATGTTGACAGAAATTGGGGATCCTCAAAATGAGGATTTGAAATTCAAAACTGATTCATTGCTAGAGTTATTGCCATAAAAGCCTTTGTTCATCTAGCTATAGAGATTCAACAATTTTCTGTCTTGAATTTCTGTAATTTTGGTTGCTGGAGAAAGGAAAGAGAGATTGGTTTGAAGAGAAACATTACAGAGCTTTGCTTACCGGCCTCTTCTTGCCACCTTGGGTAAGCACAAGGCACACAGTTAGAGTTAGGATAATGTCAACCCCACAAACCTTTTACATCTAGCTAATTGGTGACTAAATGGAAAGTTCATGGACCTTATATATATTTCCACGGCTTATATTTTATGGGATCTTTTTCATTTCTCACCTGGTTGTACAGGGTAGCATCTATCCATTGGCGTATTGTACACAATGTCTGCTTTTTTAATTTCTCCCACTGCTTTTCTTTCATTTCTTCCGGCTTTGCACTGTCACCTTCAATTGGATCGTACAGAATTTTACAATTGAGGTAGTCCTCCATTCTGAATTTCCACATTAAATAATTCGAATCCGTCAATTTGATCATTGCTCCGTCGTTAGCCATGTCGAATTCTGAATCTGACAAAATTTTATTATTCACGAAATTTACTGTTCACGTGAATAGTAACTTTGTAGAAAACCGACAAAATTTATCAACCAAAGACTCTGATACCAGTTGTTGGGATTCTAACTGATCCCGAGTGTTTTGCACAAAGATTTTATTATTCACGAAATTTACTAGTTCACGTGAAAGTAACTTGTAGAAAACAGACCAAAATTTATCAACCAAAGACTCATGATACCAGTTTGTCTGGGATTCTAACTATCCCGAGTGGAGCCCGCAAGAAAAATACCGGTGGTAAAAGTAAATAAAATTACTATTTACCACAATATACCTCCAATTAATTTCATATTGGATATTGACACGAATCCGACTCAGAATAATAACCACGGTAAAAATTCAAACAATTACGTAAAATGCCAGATTAAAAAATAAAGAACACCCGAGAATTACGTGGTTATAAAAAATAAGAACACCGAGATTTACGTGGTTCACCCTTCAACTTTTATAGGCTACGTCCATGGGACAAAAACTCCGAATAATTCTTCCACTAAAAATAATAGGTACAAAACAGATTACAAAAATAGTGGTACTCTAAGTGTTTCCCAAAAACACCTCAAAAATTACAATCCTCACTATTTTCTCTATTTCCCAATTTTAGGAACCCTTTCCTAAAATTCTCTACAATTAATTGTGTATTCCTATTCTATTTGTTTTTGTACCTAGTTTAGGAAAATCCTTCTCCTATAAAAGAAGGGGACGCGTCATTAACGTGTCCACCGAATGGATGCGTTAATCACGCGTCCAAAATTTCAACAAAATTTTTTTTCTTTGTTCGGTAGTCTTCTTTGACTGCCAAAACAAAAAGGTGTTGTTTTATTTTCTTCTTTCTTTTTAAATGTGTGTGGGTCCCACATGTTGGAGTGACCCCACAACAAAATATACATATGTGCTCGACCTCCACTAAGATCCTCTATTAGGGTGGGATTTGTCCTTGATCATTAGTTTCATGAAACCTCCCTATAATCATAAACCTATATATATCCCAACATTTATGTTACTTTATTATGTGTTTGATACAGATATTTAAAATGAAGCATACAATAGAGAATAAGCTATAAAGATAATTGGGTAAACAATATTATTGAGACTTACTCAAATTTATATAAAAAAAGTTAAAAAAGGTAGAGATAGTATTAAATAAAGAACACATTTATGCATAGAAATATACTTCAATCATTCTCATATTTATCAATTATATTAGTTATCTTCTGATTCATCGTTTCACATAGAATACACACACACACACACATATGGATTTTCTTGTTTGCTCTCATCTGAATCAGTAATTTTGAACTTTAGAACCATTAGGATTGTGCAATACTTCCAGCAAATCCTCCTCATTCAACTCTAAATGCGATGTCTACATCATCCTTTGGAATGTAGAATCATCCTAGTGGTGATTACATAAGTTTCAAGAATTTTTAACATATGCCTAGGTAATTCATCCTACGAACATTTGGACCATCATCTGACTTTTTTCCCACCAAATTATCTCAGTTGCTGGCATCAAAATAGTGACCAATTTTCTTCATTAAAATTTTTCACTTTTCACACACCTATTACCTTGCATCTCTAATTCATTGATAAATTTTGGAGGAAAACATCCATCAATAGATGTTGAATCCCTTATTGTGTTCCAGGGGAGCAAAAAAGAGAAGATCTAAAAAAAAAAAAGATATAGTTAGTGACTCGTAGGTATAGAAAATGACAATTATAACCAATTATGGAATATTGGACCATAATCAATTAATAACTTCGATAATATTGAACTGTTTCGCTAGTTTGATTTATAGATTTGAACTACTACATACTTCCTGTATAGGTGCAGTTGCTTTCAACTCTTGACTTAAACTGCTAGTGGCACCAGAACCAAAAATTTTAGTAGTAGTAGTGTTATTGTTACCAGCTGGTGTATGCAAATCTATACCATTTTTTTCTAGTAGTACAACTATTGCCGGTTCATATATGCAAATTTATTCTATTTGGTGAAAAATGTATAAATTTTCTTAGAGAAATCATTAATTGGGGGGGGGGGGGGTTAAATTGGGTGGGCGGGGGGCATCAAAAAAGGGGGGGGGGGGGGGATCAAAAGAAGCGAAGAAATAAAAACCGAGCTTCAAACAATAAAATAGAGTTCGTATTGTTATTATTAACGAAATAGTCGGTCGATAATTGTCAAATTCTCTACGGTGAGAAAAGTAGGGTTTTTCACTTTTATTTGCTTGTAAATTAATGGAATTTGTTTCATTTTGTTTAATTGAACAATTAAAATGACTCTTAGTTAATGTAAATTGGTTTTGTTTTCTGTTTTTCTCTAATAAAGCTTTCATGTTCTAAAAACTGAATTATAGTATTATCTGAATTAAAGAAATGTCTTGATTTGAGAAGCACAAATAAATTGGTGGTCAAATTATCAATTGATGAATGATGAGGATGTTAAAAGTTTATAAGTTTCTTCACACGTGAGTTTATAAATGAAAGAGCATTAGAGCTCACGAAACCATGTTAAAATCTATAGGCTATAAATGCTATTGAATTTCACTGCATAAAACCAATTGGTTTGTGCTAGATCCACCATCTATTTAATTATAAATTATTTAATTATTATATTTGATATGAGATTCATTCCACGAGAAAAGAATAATTATTTATGACATTGTCTCGAAAACAATGTAAAAAAAATAACTTTAGTCTATTACTCTTTAAATGAAAATATTTAAAAATTTTGTGACAATTAATTTATTTCAAACTGAACAATTAAAAAAAATTAGTACTTTAAAGGGTAATAATAATCAATATTTTGACATTTAATTAATAAATTGAGACGGTATTCGTGATTATTTATACAATAATATATAGAGAGAGAGAGAGAGAGAGAGAGAGAGAGAGAGAGAGATATGAGAGCCAAACAAAGTTAACAATTTTAAACGTTGGATATTGGTTGCTGTATTGGTTGCTGACGTAACCCATGGAGACTGTAGCTTATATATATAGTGGTTATCTTGGCCTTTTAGGGCAGGACATATATTGTATACCATGGAGAGTCCTCTACCATACAGAGTACTTAGAAAAGGTGCTTGGACCCCTGCTGAAGACGACCTTCTCAGAAGCTGCATTCGAATACATGGAGAAGGCGAATGGCATAAAGTCCCTTCAAGAGCTGGTTCTCTCTCTTTGTATCTATATATCTTTTTTTATTTTTGAAAAACAACAATGTATAGCAAATAATTAAGATTAATCAAATTATAGGCATTTAAGTGGAAGTTATATGTATATAATTTTGCAGGTTTAAACAGATGTAGGAAAAGTTGTAGATTAAGGTGGTTAAACTATCTTAAACCAGGTATTAAAAGAGGAGAATTCACATCAGATGAGATTGACCTAATGATCAGGCTTCACAGCCTACTGGGAAACAGGTAACTCAACATCTAACCAGGTTAGGTCATTCTGTCTCATCCTATCTACATGAGTGGGATTCTGCTTCTACTCTTCTACTGGATTCTGCTTCTACTACTATTTTTTTGATTCTTTGAGCAGATGCCTGTGACATTAGTTTCTTAAGATAATATTTTTTTGTCCTCTACTTTTTGTTACCAAAAAAACTGCTTATGACTTTTAACTAGAGATTATTTTATGTGAATAGAATTGTATTGCCACTAAGTAATAGAATTAAATTTTTGTCTTTTGGCAGCTTCTAGATTTTTCTGTTGAAAGGAGTAATTAAATCAGATTATTTCTGGTTTTATTGATGCAGATGGTCACTAATAGCTGGTAGACTACCGGGAAGAACAGCAAATGATGTAAAGAATTTCTGGAACACTCGTATGCATAAGAAGCTGAGGCTTAGTAATTCTCATTGTAAGGAAGATGATGTGAAAGACAAAACAGTAAAAATATCATGGCCTCAACCCTGCAAACTCTCAAAAAATATATCATTATTTACTGCAACTGCAAAAGATAAATATCAGCATGAAAATGACAATGATAATGATAATCTTGGCAATGGCAAGGCTTCTGTGCCCGTTGCATTTCCACCGTTAGACAGTAAAGATGACATAAATAATCAACCTAACACCACAAACCCTCTTGCAGGAGAAGGTGCCTCCACATTCTTTGAAGGGGAGGGCAGTAGTGACTATGGAAAATGATTGGTGGAGTGACTTTTCTTCTCAGGAGAAGGTGCCTCCACATTCTTTGAAGGGGAGGGCAGTAGTGACTATGGAAAATGATTGGTGGAGTGACTTTTCTTCTGATGAGGAAATCTGGAATCTTTTCTTCGGTGAAGAACAAGAAGTGATAATCTTTGACAGGATTGAGATAGATATGAGAATTATGGCATGTCAATATTTTGTAGTTTGCTGGTGTAGCTTGTAGTAACAACTTTTGTGTTTTTAAGTAAAACTAAGTACGAATATATTTGCAGATTTGGGCATGGTTTTAGGGTTTGTGTTGGGGTTGGTTTCGTTTTTGTTTTGGTATAATCTGTTGCAAAATTTGCATGGGCTATATCTTTTTTTTTTTTTTTTTTAAGTAATGTATGTATTATTCAAGGTTTTTTCACCTAACATTCTTAGTTAGGTTGGATTTTATGTGAATTAAGACTGGTGGTTTGGATTTGTTGCATTTGAATGTTATGTATTTCGTAGATATATTTAAAAATTAATAAAAAAAACTTATTTTTTTTAAAGTAAGTTTAATTATATTTAGGGTGCCTATTGGTTCAGATTTAGTCTTGAACTCTATTAATTAATAAAATAAAATTTTGTTTACCGTTAAAAAAAATAGATACTTTGTGTTTTATATATATAAATGTTCTGTTTAGAATGAAACTCAATTTCATAGTTCTAGAAACAACACCAAATCAAAAAAAAAAATAGAAGATCTTATCTTACTTGTGTTATATGGATATATCATCACTTAGATTTAATTCTAGTGATAAAGTGAGAATAGTTATATAAATTAATAAATTTGCTTTTTTTTTTTATCATGGATTTAACAAAAAGAAAACAATTATTATATATATATATATGCACTACTCTGAAGGCTTGAAGGTTGGAAAAAGTTGAATGAAGACACCCTTGACCCTTTATAAATTATATATTGGTGTTAGACTAAGTTTTTCAGCATATTGTACACATATACAGTATCATTAGGGTTTGGCAAGAAGGGAAAATGATTGATAAAATATATGCCTTCTTCTTTTTTTTATTGAAATAAATAAGTTTATTAAAAGAAAAAAACATAATTAAACATCCATTGAGAAAATCTTTTATCATGTTCATAAAAATTAATATAAAAAAACTCAACAAATCGATTTGATTGATGATTGAGTTTCTTCTCTATAACTCTTGTGATCATATATATAATAAATAAATAAAGAAGGATCTTTATTTCATGAATTTTCTAGTTACGTGGACCATATTTATATATTTGAATTTTTCTGATTTGTTTCAGATATGATAATTGGTAAATGTTATGAGTGACTATATATATATACACACACATCTCCTTAATTATAATATTAAGGAATTAATTTTTTTTCTTCTCCCTTTTTTCCCTTTTATGGTTATCCCAAACTTTCATTACACTCATTTAAATATTTTAATTACAAATAAGTTGTTAATAAAGAGTGCACATGTTATAAGTTTACCGGAAAAGTAATTCCAACAGCTGGTAAACTGTGTACTGATTTGATATAATTTTTACTGAAAACTATTTATAAATATAATTTTAATATTTGTGCATGGATTATGTAAAATAACAAAACAAATTATTATAATTTTAATATTTGTTGCATGGATTATGTAAAATAACAAAACCAAATTATTAAGAGGTCAAAGACTTTTAAATTATAACATTTTATTTTTCAAAAGTAAATAACTAAATTTTATGAAATATATATTATATATATATATATATATATAATTGAGCATTGACATTATGATTTTAATCTTCTCCCCTTAACTATCTTTTAATGGGTTCTTTTTCGTATGTTTTGCTTCTAGAGCTGGAGCTTTGATTCTTATTTTGCATTTTTTTTAAATTCTTAAATTTAATATATATATAGTGTAGAATTGATTTGTCTCCATCTGACGTGAAATTTATTTGTCCTTCATTTGAAATTTACTATTTTTTTATAAAAAATTGGTAATAAATAAAAGATCCAAAAATTATAAATACGTAGTCTAAATTTTTCTTGAAAATCAAATTTAATATGGTGGACCCAACTTTAAAAATTAGTTATCCTGTAATTAATAATCATTTATAAAAATTTATAAAGGATCTTAATATATATTAAAAAAATTCATAGTACAAGCATATAATTTATAGTTTATAGATAATTCTGATATGAAAGTAAGTTTTGAAGTTATAATTTTTAAGCAATTGATTATGTCTATGGATTTTACAATAAAATTTTAAAAGCATAAATATTAATTTTTAAAATTAAAAATTAAGATGAACGCTATCAATTCTATTATCAATCATTATATGTTAAATTTGTATTAGATAATACAATTATTATTGATGTGTTTGATTAATCATATTATTGTTTTGAAATTTTTTTTTGAGTGTAAACTACTAGTATCCGGACCCTATTACTAGGATGCCTAATTCGGCTCAATGCTTAATCACAGTTAATCGCCCCTCCATGCAGGTGCGTTTGTGGGATCGAACCCAAAATTTCTTTGCACATGCCTAGCCTGCGTATTATTGTTTTGATAAACTTGTTTTTATATAGAATCAAGCTTGTAATAAATAAATTCACAAAAACTAAGTTTTTGAATTTTTTTTTGTAGATCACAAATAAAATTCAAATTTTAACAATTACAAATTACATAAATTATAAAATAATTTTAGTAAAAAAAAAAAGTTGCCCTTGTATTTATTTTGTGTTTCTTCTGTTAGGATTCACATACCTAAAATTCAACCATTCTTTTACCAGCAATTTTGTTATTCAGGTAAGTACAGAAAATTATAATAAGAATAATTTTAGGTAAAAAAAATTAAAAGGTTGAGTATATTGATATATTATTATACTTAACATAAGCGTATCGGTCTAGTTATTATAAGAAACTTCTATAATTGGATTGGTATAAAAAATTATAGTCATAATGACATCAAGGCGCCAACACCCAAATAAGACTTAAAGCCAAATTATTTACATAATACTCCTTTATGTAAATGTTCATTAAAAAGATATATTCTCTTATATTTTCATTTTAAATAGAAGGTTATTAATATACTAGCATTCAACTATTTTTTTAAAATTTAATCTATTTATTTTTGGTATTATGACAAAGGATAGTATATTGATATTTTTCTTCGATAATTGTAAATATTTCTTCTTTAACCTGATTGATCTTTTCAAATAGATTTTGGCAAAACAGTTTTATAATATCAAAGTAATATAATTAATGGATATATTATAACTAACAACGTAGGAGTATATAAAAATTAAATTATAAATATATTATGATCAGCAACACAATAAACTTAAAATATTATTTACATAATACTCTTATAATGTAAATATATATTTTTTATTTCATTTTAGAAGGTAAATATTAGCTCAATAATTTTTTAAATTTAATATTTTATTTATTTATGACAAAGAATATTTGATATTTTTCTTGATAATGAAATTCTCGAATTGATGTCTTTTAGATTGGCAAAACAAGTTTTTTATTATAATAATAAATATACATAAATAATACAGAATAAGGGATTATTGGATTTATAATTAGCAAGTCATTAGATATTTTTAGATTTAATGACCCACATTTAGGTAATTTAATTCTAATAAAAGATAACTACTTTTGTATCTATGTAAAATTTTTCATTTCTATAGAGTGATCTTACCCTACCAAAATATTGTGATTTAGAAATTTCAAAAGTTTTTTTTTTTTTTTGTTATAGGCAGAGCATGACAAATTAACTGGTACCATTTGTTAATTTGTTACACCGAGACCGTAACAAACAAAATTATTTTTATACTATTTTGGGGAAAATTATTACTAAATAATATTTGATCCACTTATAGTGTAGCAATTCTCACTTTTCACAAATAATTTGAAATTTATTTTTGTAATATTGCCTGATCATTAGAAGATTAAAATGCTCAAGAAACCATCGATGAGGTTGGCAGTTTCTTGGCAAACCATCAATGAGGCCATCGTACAACAGCTTCGCGCCCTCGCTCATTGTACAAACAAACATAGAAATATAAATAAGTTTTCCTATTAACCCCTCTTTTTTTTGAACTTTTTCCTATTGAACCCTCCAATTTTTTGCGTGTTGCATACTAAGCTTTTTTAACAACAATTAGAGTATGTGCTCACACAAAAAAATAAGCGCGTTTAACGTTTTCTTTCATTACTCCTTCAAAACGACGTCATTCCACTATATTTCCAACCTTCTTA